GATGATGCTTCATCAACAACTGAAAGTGCAGAATTGTATACCTCACAAAACGGAGGAGCTAGTGCAAGGTTGGTGCGCAGAAGATTTAATCGCATTCGGTTTATATCATATTGTTTCTTATGTATCATATTATGGCAAGACTGTGTCATGCTCGGTTACCTATGAAATGACCCGTATTTTTAAAAATTTTCTTGAATGCATTCCAGTTAAATTAACTGTTTGTATTCATAAATTATACTCTGATATTTACAGTTCAACTTCACCAGTTGACGGTGTAGTGCAGTCGATGCCGCGTGAAGGTTTGATTTTGTATAATAGTACAACAAATGCTAATGCAACTCCGTATGGACCAAAATTTTCATCACAGAGTGAGGTAATCGTTGAGTGTGTACGTGCTTGATTTCATTTCACTTCATAACTCGTTGGTTAATTGCCATCTCTAGAATAAAACAGATTTAGCCAAATATTTTGATCTGATTTCTCGTCAGCAATTTCGCTTCAAAGTAAATCTTTTGATGATTACTGAATCGTTCAAGGGGCGAGGTTTATTCGAAATGGGCCGTGTGCTCTCCGGAAAATCAGCCGCTTCGGTGGTGTCAGAGGGGAGTGTGGGATCTTTCTCGAACGAATCCGCCACCACACAATTGGATTATTTACGACTGAAAAGTGAGCATCGAAAGCTGCAAAATCATTTGGAGGTACGTAAACATCATATCATATTTTATTTTATTGTCACATTTCTGCAGATATGTTTTCGACGTTCTCAGTAAGTAAATCTTAGTGTTTTGCACTGCCCATTGCAACAAATTTGTTTCCTACTCATTTCTTTTATGCATTTTCCATCTCAAAAATTGACTCGTCTGCTTCCCATATAATGAAACTAACTATCTTTCCGCCTCATACGATATTCATCTCAAATCTCTTTTCGTTCCTTCGGAAGTTTATCAAAAATTGTGAAACTGTCCGTTTGGTTACCCAGGATTCTTACTACTTTGCTTAAGTTATTTAGCCTTCGCCTTATTATCTGTCACTCGAAAATCACTCATTGTTTAAAAGAATTTTTCTTCGTTTAGCATGTGAGACATGAACGATTTCGTGCCGCTGATCCGTTGCTAACGATACGACGTTTGTTGACTGGTGAGGCGATCACAATGGATTTGTATCGTAGTAAACGAGAGAAGTTGGAATTACTCGATGAGGCGTTGAGATCATTCGATGGGAATGCTATCACTGCGGTATATTTTTTTATCTCTTTGCGATTCCTCACATTTCTGAATGGAGTTATTAACCCAGACCACGCCAGGTTAAGGCGAGTTTGAAATTCCTTAATAATGAACTTCATAAACTGCGTAGTAGTAGCTGAATTTTCAGGTGATTCTCTTCCTAAGACGTTCATTATCGGAATCTCTTTTTCGAGAGATTTTGTTGGAAAAAAGTGTGGCCGCTGATCATTATGTTGCGTATTTGAAAGAAGTTGAAGATTTCGATCAGTTAGCAACAACACTTTTGTATGTGCATTCAATGTTGTTTTGTCAGATTGAATGTGAGCGAGCAGAAGTTTTCATTGATTGATGAGAATCTGTGATATTTTTAATCAGTAATATTGGATTGGTTCATCTGCTGCTTGAAATTCGAAAAAAAAGACTATAATAAGTGACGGTATCAGTATCAGTTGTTCAAATTTACCATACTTAAACGATGTCAAACGATGTCAATTTTTCTTTGTTCACCGAACAAAGAAAAATTGCTTCAGGTGAATAATTATTGCTAGAAAGGTAGAAAATTTGAGTGGGAATAGAAAATTGATGAATTTAATTGAAGTGCATTGGGACGTAGCGATGAAGCGGCCATGTTGGAGTATTCG